ATGATTGCCTCCACCTATCAGGGAAAACAAATATTACCAGCTGTGGCAGTGATATCACGAGAGGTATATGTGGTTTTATGCATCCCGAGATAGTTGTTACCGCGAGCCGGATACAGATTACATTAGGTGTAGAAATTATATGGGTCATTTCTTGAACACCTGAACAGCTGTTCATTTACAGTGTTCATTGATGACTTTTCATGAAACTCGTAACACGATTGCGACAGAAACTCGGGTTAAGCTCAGTGTGACAGCTGTACCAGTTATGAAAATGACATGATATCATCCTGTTTAAATGAATATAGTGAGGACATTTACAACAAATCTAATCACACTAACGTTTACGTAATACGTAAACTACTTTTATAACGAACTTACAGATATTACGAATAAGTCTTTTTGGACTTGGCGAATTGCTGAATGTTTTAGTCTAAACGAGTAAAAGGAACTACGGTTATAACGAACTAAAATTAGTGGTCCCTTTAATTCGTTATAACCGAGGTTAACTGATACGATATGCATATCTCCACACCACGATGGACCGGTTGGGTAGCCGAGTGGTTAAAGCGTTCGCTCGCCACCTCAAACACCCGGGTAGATTCCCCACATGGGTACAATGTGTGAAGCCCATTCGCCGTGATATTGCTGGAATATTGCTAGGAGCGGCGTAAAACTATATTCACTCACTCACCCAAACCACGCGCTTTGCTAAGAATGTGAGACTGACTCAAATCCAAAAGAAAGAAATGTGGGAATCGAACTCAAGGACGTTTCACATCCAAGCCCTGCCTACTCGCTTTTTAGTTGATTCAGGGTCTCTCAACACATCTGCCCCAAAAAACATCAAATTTACTAAATATATTCCATAAATTTACGTGAAAGACCGAAATATAGACATACGGTATGTACATTCAGACAGTAGAATGTTGTTGCTTGTAAATATGTCAAACTATTGTTGATACCCATAAGTAAGTAAGTAAAGGTAGAGATTATCTTCCGGTGTGATTGTATATCATTTCTTAAGGGAGTGTTGCAGCGGGTATTTTGTAGTGATGTAACGGTGCATCGAACTATCGATGGATTGCAATTGTTGAGTCTCCGATGGCAATTAATCGATGGCAGAAACGAAAAACTATCGATGCAACGATATTATGTGTGACTATGGATAGTTTAGTAATTGGCTTCCGTTGATAAAGTCCGCCTCCGTGGTGTAGTGGTTAGAGCGTCCGCCCGGAGAGCGGGAGGTCACGGGTTCGGTCCCCGACCGCGTCATACCAAAACGACGTTAAAATATGGTACTTGTAGGTCCCTGCCTGGCGCTCGGCATTAATGGGTACAACAAGGACTTGTCGGCTCGGAGTTAGTATAATGTGTCTGAGTGGGGTATTCATGCTTCACTGCGGCATGGTATCAGCTTAAGTCTGGGCTAGTACAAGCAGCCGCACATACACACACACGCATGCACGTCGTCATATGAGCGTAATATTCTCAAGCACGACGTTAAGATTCGTTCCCTTTGATTTAGAGTTATCCGTCCCTGTTACTAGACTGGGTTTCAGTTTTCTTGTGAGTTATTAAAAGAGACTGAAACTACTTGAGTTTGTTTTTATTTCACATAAGCTATACATTCATTTGAAAAATGACTTCAAATGAGACAGTTCAAGGAGAAACAAACAGTTTATAGTTGGTCGCAATAGACTATCGCTATCGCAATAGTTGTTTCCCCCTCAATAGTCACCCCGAGTATTTTGTATGTGGATAAGACACTTTGCCCAATATACGTGTATGAGTGTATATGACACCAAATTATTCACAGGGGCATGACATACTTCTACCAGACACACACATTTTCTACATCGTCATCTCATTCCAACTCCAGACTGTGGCTTGGTGGACACCTGTCATTGTATCTCAATTGTGTAGATCGATGCTAATGATATTGGTCCCTGGATTGTCTGGTCCAGACTCGATTATTTACAGATCGATGCTAATGATGTTGGTCCCTGGACTGTCTGGTCCAGACTCGATCATCACAGATCTTTTTCTTTCAGTGATTGTATTAGTTTATTCTGACTTGTTAAAACATCCAAAATTACATGAGTATGTATCTGATATATTCATGATTGCGCCTTTAAAGGTGATGTAAGTCAAAACAGTTTTCCGTACAAATAACTTTATTATACAAAGAAACAACACATAAACATAAGGTACATGTATATCACCGGGTCCTACGTCCTTCGGGTCCTACGTCCTTCGGGGCGTCCGATTCCTGAAACAAAGAAGTAAATGTCACTTTGACATAGTTGTTCATTGATAAATGTTTACCAGTACTATACCTGTATCTGAGAGCTTTACCATTCCTTAACCCGGCCATGGGTAGGATAGCATAGGTTTGTGAAAATATTCGGCTTCAAACAGGAACCGTCAGTTTGACAGATTTTCAGATGTATAAAAACTTCGCCTATGTGTAAGGCCAAATATGAAATTCCTTTGTTTCTCGTTACCCACCGGAATAATAATTTAACAAAACCTCTGTACCTTAGTAAAATTGTATTTATTTACATTTAACGAGGGAAGTTTCTCTTATTTTGTCAAGGTTTCACGTGAAACGTATAATTGTGTGTCTACGTTGCATATCTTTACACTGTAATAAGTCATTTTCTCCGTGGTGATACCGTCCCTCTTGTGATACCGTTATATGATTATTAGTTCATAGCAGGCCAGGATATACATGCTATACGACGGGAGGTCGAGGAGGTAAACTGGTGGAGAAGAAGGGGAGGGAAGGAAGTGAAATGTCTCACCGCCAGTATTCCTTGGCTCATCCTCAGCATCCTGATGATGATGGTGGTGATTGAAGGGGTGGTTCGTCATACCTGATTTCCATCTCCACCGGCTCGCTATCGCCATACTGGTACAGAGTTGCCATGGAGACGGTCACCAGCAACACTGAAACAACATGATACTGATAATGTAATGACATTCTCACCGGCAGTTGAGAAAAAAATACGCTTGCGTCATCACAAAAAATGGGAGCATAGGTGACCAGGTCGCTTAAAGCGGCACAATGCTTATGGTATCCACGGTATTGGGTAAACTAAAGCGAAATCTAAATCTAAAGCTATAACTCCAATCCTATCACACCGCTTTGCAGACCATTTTGACATCATTGTTACCATGACGTCACAGTCGAATGACATCACTTATCTTTCTGCCACTGAGGCCGGTTTTGTATACATTTTACATTCAATACATAATACTTATTTCACACAAACTGTTGCAAGTTTGAAGGATGTTTTTGATGATACATGGTCACCTTATCTTTCCATTATGTCTTTTGACACGAAAATATCATCTCTAAAAGTTAAATTTCACTTGAAATCTACAGTTAAAGGATTGCGTGTGTACAAATCTTTCACATACTATAGGCATGGTTTTCTTTTCGATAATTATAGTACAACATTTTTAAAACTGTCTAGCAAGGGTATTGTCATCAATGTATGGACGATACTCCCAATGAAAGTCATCTCACGTTAGTATAAATATTTCGTCTACTCACCAATAACGAACAGCGACAACAGAGTGGCGTTCATTGTCCAAGATTTTGTAGTGAGAGTCACACAATGTTTAATTGTTTACGACCGAACCACGAAGTGATGTGCTTTTATACCAACGTTTCCTTTACTGATGACAAACGTGACAGAACTTGTAGTAGGAAGTTATTCTTGTAATCTGCAACTGTTTCCGTAGAAAGCTATGGCAACAACGTGTAAACCATTGAAAAGCATAAAAACACCAATTGTGACATATTTTCAACATTCCAGCTGATAATGAATAGCAAAAAAGAAGCAAAAAAATATGAAAAGATGTCAGTACGCGTGGTAAATTACATACACTATTTAACTTTTGCTAGGACATATTAAATATATCATACTCTAAGTACACATATACATAATTATACAAATGCATGTATCTATATGATGGGTAAACTCCGGTTATGGCAAAGGCAAAGGGACCACGAAGTTCAGTTCGTTACTTCCGTAGTTTGTTGTACGCATTTCGACGAAAAGATATAGGTAGAACCTAGGACACTAACACACGGTATTGAAGCAGTTAATGTCATCTGAAGTTTATATATATATATATGTATATATGTATGTAAATATATTATGGTTACTTAATGAATTCCCGTAATGATCCACGGTAGAACTGGTCTTCAGCAACCCATGCTTGTCGTAAGAGGCGACTAACGGGATCGGGTGGTCAGGCTCGCTTACTTGGTTGACACATGTCATTGCATCCCAATTGCGTAGATCGATGCTCATGCTGTTGATCACTGTATTGTCTGGTTCAGACTCGAATATTTTCAGACCGCTGCCAGAGTGCGGCGTAAAACTCAACTTACTCACTCACCCTACGCTTCTTCAATATAAACGTATATTACTTGAAACAGGCTAAAACATCTGGTACAGTCAATGAAGCTTTGAAAACATCAGTGGTAGCCTGGTGGTTAAAGCGTTCGTTCGTCATCTCCGTGATATTGTCGGGATATTGCAACCTCACTCACTCACTCACTTTAAACCCACTAAATTTCGTGAACATCATCAGCGACCAATAGTTTACACGTTCGCGTCATTCGTGCCATAAAGCGACGTTGTATCAATTCAATTTGTTTATTCAGCATGTGTCTCCTCCGGCCCACATACAGATGATACAAGCAGCAGGTTGGAACTTACAACTTACAAAATTTGACGTCTCATACATAGTGCATAATGAACATAATAAAATTGTAGCTTAATAATAACGTTTGGATCATTAGATGTCATTACATTGATGAAACTAGTTTTTATATTATAGGATGTACAGACAAACGGTAGGTATTTTGATCTTAGGCTTTCATTAGCTGAACATATCATAACAAAATGGAATTCATCCTCAATCATCTAACTTACAGTCACAGTGTTCTTATTACATTATGATATCGCCCAAGTATCGCGTCCAACAGAATGCCCAGATTCCTGTGACAGCTTGAAAGAAGCGCCCCAAGCGGAGATACACCATGGTATATTTCCTTATATACATCGTCTACATACCTTCTTACCGCGCCATACCGAACATTTGCTTCCTGTAATAATTGTATAAAAGGATTTTTTTCTGTAGTTTTTTCATCATTCATCTCTTGCTTTTGCATCCGCCTTCCAAGAAGAATAGCGAAAAAAATGAATCTCAAAATAGTCTTGGTTTTCCTTGGTGAGTTTGTTTCAATCTATTACAGAATCATGACGTGTCTTTAACTTTAACATGACGTGTCTTGCATTCATAAATGTTTTTAACTGTTTTGTTTTCGATTATATATAACAGCTGAAATAATAAAACAATTTTTGAATGATTTGAACCAAATGTCCTTAGAGTACCAATTTCACCAGTATTTGGTTCCCTACAATTGTTTGCCATGGCATGGAACCAGCCAAGGAACAGTAAATTTCGTTGGTGTTGAACTGGTGAATTTCTTTTTCACAGCCATGATGATAGCAGTGGCCCTTGCCCATCGTCACCGTCATCATCACCATCATCATCACTCCTCGTCCGTCAAACACATCCACCACTACGAGTCGGGATCATCGGGATCTTCAGGATCTTCATCCTCCGGATCATCGGGATGCGGTTGTGGAGGAAGCTCCGGATCTTCTGAATCCTCAGATGAAGATTACCCCATCCCAATCCCAATCCCAATCTCCAGCGGTGGCGGAAGCAGCGGCAGCAGCAGTTCCTCCGACGCCGCCCTTCTACAGGCTCTCATCAACGCTGGCAAATAAATGAAACGGTAAGATATCTTTAAGTATATTAAATATGTTTCGTTCACCTTTGAGCGATTAGGCATGGAATAAAGATATAATGTAAAAGTGTTGTTAAAATGGCGTTGACAGTTCACCAAAAAACAAAATAGTTATGCAATTGCTGTTTGTTCGAAAAATGCTCGTATGGTAATCAAAAGTGCACCTATGGCAGCAATTTCTTATCATTATCGAAACTGTTTAGTCACCTATATTCAAATGGTTCTTTTCTTCTTTTTCAGACTGCACACGTCCTCAACGGTCCTGCGTTTTTTATGTTGTTACTGTTAATGTTTTTCGTAAATAAAATCATTAGAATTTACAAAGTAGTTTGAGTATTGTCCACAAAGGCATGCCGTCCTGCTGCCGAAAATAGGAGTCTATGACGTGTCTCTTTTATAACAGGTCACGTGCAATCAGTGCTGGTCGTGAGAGGAGACATGTCCTCCATCCTTAAGCTTGCACTCACTCACTCACTCACTCACTCACTCACTCACTCACTCACTCACTCACTCACTCACTCACTCACTCACTCACTCACTCACTCACTCACTCACTCACTCACTCACTCACTCACTCACTCACTCACTCACTCACTCACTCACTCACTCACTCACTCACTCACTCACTCACTCACTCACTCACTCAGTTATCCGTAACTTGAATTGATAGTGAAAGCCTCAAATGAACAAAGGGATTGACTTGGTGGTGAAAGTCAAAATACTCTTGACAATCATGGAAAAGTAAGGCAGAAAATCAGTGACGACAACAGGAGTTCCCGTAAAGGGTAAGCATGTCCCATTCTACCTGCATCAAACGCCACCTCCACTAGTGTTGGGAATTGGTTGAAATCTCACAATTGATGATTGGTTCAATACCAACGACCAATCGTCGAAAAAAAATGGTTCGCGTCATTTTTTAGATTTTCCTATTCAGGTTGTAGTTGCAGATAAGTATAAAGAAAAAACATTTGGTTCTCTGTTGTTGTTTTTTGAAACTCACAAATTACATTTGCAAATTTCACATCCAGTGTAAAATGATTCAGTTCCAGTGTAACATAAACTTCCCAGATTCTTCAAGAAATATTCAGTCATGACTTTTCAGAAAGTGAAGTGACAACGTCCTAAATATGTTCTATCATCAAGTATTTCAAACTCTATTACAGCGGTTCCAAAATCGTTTGTGTTCGATTATGAGAAAATGTGATCGATTGCTTGGTCGTTTGGCCACTGCGACCAATCTTCGATTATTTCAATTAATCGGAACACCACTAACCTCCACCAATATGTTTTTTCATTTTTAACAAGAACATGTCAGTGAGGGCGAGTGAAAGGTATATGCCTCTGAGGGGGATACCAAGCTATACGGACTCAGGATTCGAATCCCCGATATGTTACTGAGTAAGTGAAAATCGAAATATAACATATGTTACATTTCACTACTATTACGGCATTATATATCGTTTGAGTGAGTGAGTGAGTTGAGTTTTACGCCGCCCTCAGCAATATCCCAGCTATATGGCAACGGTCTGTAAATAATCGAGTCTGGACCAGACAGTCCAGTGATTAACAGAATGAACATCAATGTAAAACTTAGACAGACACTCTACGACATATACTAGTCTTTCTCCCAGTCCACTACATTTTCTCCTTCAGCCCAACCCAGTGCAAAAGTATTAAATCAGCAAGTCTAGATTTGCTCAGGTTCATGTCTGAATCTCCCAGCTCCCGGAGACACTGTAACAATTTAAATGGATCTATTGGTTTCTATGGAAATGATATGTTGTCTGAGACTATCAATAGCAAATTAATTGCAATTGTCAATGCGAACGTGCAAAACCAAAATCAAGTTCTTGAATGTTCAGTTCATTGACTTGAATGCATTCAAACACTCCCCGCACAAAATTCTTTAGTTACCTGATGACGTCACTTGGGATGCGTCGCCATTCATCATGGAGCATCTGCACACGTTCTGTCTGGGGTCTGGGGTCTGGAATCTGTGGTCGCAGCCGATATGTCAATGGTATCCCAAATGGGTCTGGTGATCAATTACACATGAACGTTCTTGCCAGAAAGTCCACATCGACGTTGGAAGTGTGGGGTCTGGCTGTTGGCCAATAAACGGAAGCACGTAAGGCGTAGGATATAATCCTTCTACCGTTGGGTATTGAGGTTACCGTCAGTGATGACCAGTGGCGTTCACTCTTTACTGGAAATCCCATTCCACACCATGACGCTCTCATCCCAATAAGTCACGATCTCTAAATATACAACAATGGGCGGTGGGCCGGGTTCGATTCCCCACATGAGTACAATGTGTGAAGCCCATTTCTGGTGTCCACCGCTGTGATATTGCTGGAATATTGCTAAAAGCGCGTAAAACCACACTCACTCACTCACTCAATAGTATACAACAACGAGTTTTTCGTTCCCATATCACAAAAGACGCGACTTCTTCAAATCCTTAAAATGTCAATCAATCTTTATTCTGTACTTAAAAAGGCCACAGGCTTGTAGTACATTTAATTTACATGAGTAGTTAGAAGTCATTAACAATTTCTTTTCTATAACAATCCTTTTTATTCTGTAATAATAACGTGGTGGTATATGTTAAGAGTGGAATTACATGTAATTTTCTTACACCTATAATGGTATGGCTTTAGGTATTTAGTTCGTAGAGTCATACGTACAGGACAGATTAGAAGGAAATGTAATTCATCCTCAACAGTATTCAAATTACATAATTGACATATTCTGTTTTCTCTTTGTATACCTGCATACCTGCCAGTTTCAATAAATGATAAATGGGAAGAGCAACGAAAACGAGAGAGAGATATACGAAACTTGTTTACGTCGATTTTTGCTAAATAGTCCGATTTCCATTGATTATATTAATATAACCATTTTGTTGATAGAAGTAATGATTCCGACCAAGATTGGAAATACATAACTTTCATTCTTTGTGTAAATGATATGATAATATTTGCATGGGTCTGAACATTGTGATCACACCACACATAACCATAACCTGTTTTGTACAACAACTCCTTAATATCAGTCATCCAATTTCTTTTCCCTTTTCCGTCATACAATTTCATCATATCCTAACATTTTTTCGCAAACGTGTGTCATGGCATATACAGTAATCTTACTAAATACCGTATGGCTTTAAAGGTGGAATATTTAAACAATGGAAATCTACCCAATTCTCCGTAAACCATAATATTACATGTGTTCGGTTTTACACCAAGAAACTTTTTTCTTACGCTTGTTTTGTGTGTATGGACCAGGAAAGGCTATTAGAGAACTATACGCCAGGGTACTTATAAACACTGGTAGTTTGGAGTAGTTGCCCTTTATAATACCATTTTGCTAATTTAGAAAGTTTTCCACCTTTCTTAAAGACGACAATTTTGGTTTTGTCTCTGTTTACACACAATTTATTCTGGTCAGAAAATGTGTCCAATTCATCTATTTGTTTCTGTAAACCGCTAACAGTACTAGAGAATAATACAATATCATCGCCAAAGAGTAGCAGAAATAGTTTCTATTGTATCTGGGGGTAGTTGGATCCCATTCGTACATGTGTCACATATTTGCATTGCCAATTCATTAATGAAAACGTAAATAGGAAAGGGCTTAAAAACATCCTTGTCTAACACCTAGTTCACTAATAAAAAGTTCAGATAATTCATGCTTATTCCTTACACACACTTTAACATTTTCGTGTATACTATTCAACATTTTATTCACTTTTACTAAGACCGTGCGATTTGAGAAGTCCCCATAGTTTATTCCGCTGCACAGAATCAAAAGCCTTTGCAAAATCCACGAATAATGCGTCGTACGTTCCACCATTTAAGCTAAGATATGTTTGTATTAGACCATGCAGTATAAAGATATTATCTGTTGTTGTAAAATGTCATATTGTGTCATCACAACCTGGAGGCGTATTCTGGTGACATAAAATACATAAGGGTGTGTCAAGACGCTCCTTCCGTAATCGTTTATACAAACAGCCGCGGACAAATACATATATGTAAATACCGAACGTTGATATGTTGGCACCGTGCCACACTTCTATGGAACATAATTCCATAATACATTACATGCATTATCATGAATTATGGATACAATGACTAACTCCAATGACCGGTTGAAAAAAGTTGTATTTGAGTAAAAGTTGACATGATATATGGATCACAATTCTTAATACAAATATCGTATTTATTAACACAAGCATAATCCTTGTCTGTCTCACAGTCCCTGAACCACGTTATTTTCCCTACTGCCTAGCCCTCCCTGCAATGTTAAAACCCTAAAGTCTAGATTCCCTCAGGTTCTGAATTTCTCATCTGTCTGGTTCTCCTTTTTAGACTTTTTAATTTAGGCTGCTACAAGAAACAGATAAAATTCAGCAATGTGGATGAAAAACCCCATAAAGAATGCTGACAATGAAATACATTTGATCTTATCAAACTATGCCATAATCTGGATTATGTCACACCTACACCACAGACCTGTTCTTCCTTAATCACACTTAATCTCCAACCACAAACACGGACATTGTGACCACACCGACATTCTTACAGTCAGTAGCTGGTATGTGTTGTGGTGTATATAAGTCACAGAGATACAACATCATCATCCATTTCTCTTCACACAGCCCTACAGACAGAATTCAAAATGAAATTGACCATCTTTGTGCTTCTTGGTATGTATGGCTTGAGTATATACACGTAGTTGTTGTTGTTTTTTATTATCTAATTCATATTGAGAAAGATCAGGCTCTGATCATTTAAAAAAAAGTATTGTTATTTCCCATTTTCTCTAAATTTGTAGGGGCGTTGGGGTAGCCTAGTGGCTAGAGCGTTCGCTCCTCACGCCGAAGACCCTGGTTCGATTCCCCACATGGGTACAATTTGTGAAGACCTATTCTGGTGTCCCCCGCCGTGATATTGCTGGAATATTGCTAAAACCGGTGTAAAACCATACTCTGCCAGTCAGTCTCTAAATTTTGTATTTTGCATTTAATTTTTCAATTTTTGTAATTTTTTCAACAGTGCAACCCTCTACATATCTACAAAATCTGTAGCTGTAGGGCTGTGGGGTACCCTAGTGGTTAAAGCGTTCGCTCGTCACGCCGAAGCCTCGGGTTCGATTCCCCACATGGGTACAATTTGTGAAGCCATTTGTGGTGTCCCCCGCCGTGATATTGCGGAAATATTGCTAAAAACGGCGTAAAACCATACTCACTCACTGTAGTTATATCCAAACCTGCCCCAGTCG